ACAGATGAAGTATGCAAACATGCTGTCATACTGTATGCTAATTGAAATATGCCCTAATCTAACCATCATAAGCGGATAAATAAAAGGGAGAAAGACGTGGGGTTGGAAGACATACATCACACTCACGCACACTTATTACAGTTGTGCCCTCGCGCAGAGGGTCCGAATAAATATACAGTCCAAATGTTACAGTCCCAAATAAAAGAATATTACAGTCCAAAATATTACAAAATCCTAATTAATTAAAGAATTAACTAAGAAAGCAAATGAAACTGGCGTGCAAGCCAGGGACTGCCTTGCTTCTGATGAATGGTGCATGTCCGGATCGTCTTGCGCGGAAATCCACTGGAGTGCCCCAATTAGCCTCTGTTTACACCTGTTCTTGAAATGCGTGCCAACTCCCAAAAAGTTGCTGATTCCTGATTTTGCTGCAACAGAGAGCAGGAAAGGGGCATAGCAATGTATTTGCACAGATATATGCATGCCTCGATCCTCGTGCCACCAATCACACATACCGAGGCATGATGGCCGAGGAGTCGAAATGCACAACTCAATATAGGATGAATGCACATGAAGCTACAGCTAAAACCTAACTCCATCATGGATAATCCGGAGTGTCGGTGACTGGGGAATTGAGGCACATTCCGTCACTCGGGGTACGAAATGTACCTCGTTTCCCGTGCCCGAGCTAACTCCTATCCCGAACATGATGCAATATACATGATATGCATGAAATGCAACTAAGATGCAATTCTAACATGCACAGAATGCTATGAAAATGATCTGCCTCGAAATGCGTGCACTCAGGCACGCAAACCGAGGCGACAGTATGCAATCTAAGATACAATCTAATATGCACAATGCTATGAAAATGAGGTGCCTCGAAGTGCGTGCACACGGGCACGCAAACCGAGGAAATGACATGCGTCTCGAAATGCGTGCATGCGGGCACGCAAACCGAGGCGATGATATGTGTCTCGAAATGCGTGCACGCGAAATGCGTGCACACGGGCACGCAAACCGAGACGATGGCAAAAATGCAATGAAAATGAAGTGCCTCGAAATGCGTGCACACGGGCATTTAGAAATTAAAAATATTTATCAACTACTAATATTCTAAACCAACTATAACTTCCAATTCTACTTCAATCATAATAGGAAACTTAAATGACTTCTAATTCTACTTCAATATCAAAATGGAAAATTTAGACTTCTGAGCACTAAGATTATTTTAGACATAATAAAACCTATATATATATAATAACCCATTTAATAACTTGACCACAAATAAAATCTATGGGCAACCTTATAGCCCATGTCTAGCAAAATTGAAATTACCATAATATCCTTAACTAGTAAAACCTACTACAGCGTCAAGAAGACTCAAAATAATTCCAAATATTTAATTCTTGATGTCCTAAATGTGCTTCATGTGAAATTCCAAATCTGCCCTTTTTCTTTTTTTCATGATCTTCATCAGTTGCTTTACTTAGGTTTGAAACAAAATGTATGGCTGCTAAAATAGCAGCAAAGGAAGCTCCAGTGCTGACAGGGGTTGTGTTAGGAATTTGTGGTGAAACAGATACAGACATTGCTCTTTCTGGACAGCGATTGCTGTTCATTTGGCTAAGAAGTAGGTCCTCTATGCCAGAAGTACTTTAATTGGAAGAATAACTAGATATAAAAGCTGGTTGTGGATATTAGGATACTGTTGGTAAAGGCTTACAGCAATAACAAAGCAGTAAATGTGGCAATAAAGTTAGAATTTAGAAGTTCAAACATTGTTTGCACTGGATTTGTATTTTGTGGGACTTGAGGAGTACATATTTATCTGCACTATACTCTAAATGCAACCCAAGTTAAGAAATTCTGGGAAATCTTTTTGCGTGATTTTTTTTTCGTAGTCTTGCCTGTAGAATCAGCCTCTCAGTATAATGGATGAAGTTTATCTTTTAATCGAGAATAGGGCCTAGGTGGGTGGTGTCCAAAACAAGAAACAGGTATTCAGGAGCTAGTGCAGCTAGAAAGATTGATTGAAAGGCGTCAAGTGTCCAATATGGGTAATAGCATAGGAGCTCTATGACCATCTTTGGATTGTTGGTGGTCACTTCCCATTCCTGTTTTATGTTTATACTTTCTTAGAAACTATTTAGCTCCTCTGTGCTTTGTATGTTACGTATGCTATATTTTCTGAAACCTGTAATGATACCAATTCAACAGTTGGATTTCTATTGCAAATTAATGGACATTTTACTGGTTCTGTCAAACTAGTATTCGATTCTGTCTTATGTATATTTTATTTTGTTACAGGGGTTGATGCCAAATGGGCAAGAAGTAGCTGTGAAGAAGCTATCACTGAATTCAAGACAGGGACTGAGAGAATTCACTAATGAGGTGAAACTGTTATTGAAAATTCAACACAAGAACTTGGTGACATTATTGGGATGTTGTGCTGAAGGACCTGAGAAGATGCTTGTGTACGAGTACCTTCCAAACAAGAGCCTTGACTATTTCCTTTTCGGTAAAAAAGAAACTGTTCAACTTTTGATTTTTATCTCCATAGGTGAGATGAAGCTTATTTGGAAATTTGCATGCCAAATTGAAAGATTTCCAATTGTTTCAGATAAAACTAAGTCTCCATCGTTGGATTGGTCGAAACGCTTTCAAATAGTTACAGGCATTGCAAGAGGTCTTCTCTACCTACACGAAGAAGCTCCTGAAAGGATCATCCATAGAGACATTAAAGCCAGTAATATTTTGTTAGATGAACAGTTAAATCCGAAGATCTCAGATTTCGGCTTGGCTAGGCTTTTCCCTGGGGAAGACACCCATGTAAATACATTTCGGATTTCTGGTACTCAGTAAGTAGTTTTTCCTCAACCTCTTTCTGTCCCCTCAACTATTGTACTAACACCAAGGCTATGTTTGGATCTTGAATGAAACAGAAGTATGTTTTTAGCATAACTGTCATCATGGGGACTTTGTTTTCCCTTTTCTAGTCTACATGTCCAATGCTTTCTTGAATAGCTAAAAAGAGTGTATAATAAATAAGCAAATTATGTTGTTCAATGCAGCGGTTATATGGCTCCTGAATATGCAATACATGGCTACTTGTCTGTGAAAACGGATGTGTTCAGTTTTGGAGTTTTAGTGTTGGAGATAGTGAGTGGAAGAAAGAATCATGCTAAGGAGCTTGGTGGAGAGAAGGCTGATCTCTTAAACTACGTAAGTTTTCTTGAAAAGTTCTAATGTAATCTTTTTCTATTTTGTTTGATTGGAAAAATCTCCCGAATAATATCCAAGCCAGCAGCATGCCATGCCAAGGACTAGTGCCCCTGTTGAGGCTTGAAACCTCAACCTCCCCTATGGAAGCGTTGGGGTTAATGCAATCTTGCCTAACTGTAGTGACAGTTGCATTTTATTGAGGTTTTTATTTTTGAACTTTTCCCTCATAAAAATAATAATTAAATGATATTTTGTCTTGGAGACCGAGTAACTTCGTCTTCAAATTTTGATGATTTGACAAAAATAAGGGATGAGTAATTTCAACAGACTTTGTTTGCTCCTCTTCTGCAGACATGGACGCTCTTTCAAGCCAGGAAAACATTGGAATTAGTTGACCCAAGTCTTGCAAAATATATTCCAGATGAGGCAGCAATGTGCATTCAGCTAGGGTTGTTATGCTGTCAAGCAAGTGTCCATGACAGGCCCGATATGAACTCTGTTCATCTTATGCTGTCAAGCGATTCGTTTACTTTGGCAAAACCTGGAAAACCCGGGCTTCAAGGCCGCAAAGGGCAGTGGAATACCACCACCACATCTGCAGCATTTAGTAGCACTAATCCCGGTAGTACCAACACAGCCACAACCAGGGTTTCTGGAGGTAGTAGTTTTGTTGAGGAGTTTTCTAGGAATTCTATATCTTATTCTTCCATGGATGAAGGTAGATAGATGGCGCCTCTCCATTGATGTAAAGCTTTGTTATTATTGATTGTAACTTCTTCTATATATAGTTACAGGTAAAATTCTTTATTTTGCATTTTTTAGTACGAAACTGTTTTGCATTATTTGTAGTGGAAGTTCTCTGAGGCTTTCTCTAGCAAAGTAATAGGTTATTTTACAGAAAATTCATACAGAATCGGCTACTAGCTTAGTGTTGTAACATTTTTGTAATTGATAATTATCTTAGTGGATTTTTTATTTTGAAGTGATAGATTTATGATGCAGTTATATCATTGTGTAAATTTTTTGTTGTTTCTCATTACTAATTAAGAGTTTCTAGCTATATAATATCATAGAATACAAATTAAGAGTTCTTAAAAGTATTTCAATTTTTAACTGTTTAGAAAAACTTTTATTAATCAATTTTAACTAGAAAGTTGAATATTTGATATTTAATTTTTATTATATGGCTGAAAAACAATTTTCATTATAGTAATCAATATTCAGAAGTTTTTTCTTTTTTTTTCTTTTTCTTTTCTTTTTTTGTATTGTCTTTGATCTTTTTTTTTTGTTTTTTTGAAGTACTGTCTTTGATCTTTATTATTGTAATTTTTGGACTTTACTAATATTATACACCAATAATAAACAAAAAAAAAGAAAAAAAAAAAAAGAAGCACTCAAACCAGATGTTCAAATTTTAAATTTCTGAGGTCAATGAGGTTAACTTCATTTGGAAAGAATTATTTTAACTTGATTTTTTAGTATTTTTGCTTACTTACTCTGGCTAAAGCCTAGTTTGGCATAACTTAGTAAGTACACATTTTTTATCTTTTTATTTGAGAAGGATATTTTTATTTTTTTTTACTGTTTTGTGAAAGAAAAATTGAAATAATTATGATTTAGATGTAACATTTTAACTTATAGACTTATTTAGTCTATTTTATCTTTTTGTATTTTTTTTTTAGTTTTAACCTAAATTGTCAAATGAAGACTTAAATTTTTCAACCCTTCTAGGTAACTCGAATAAGGTTTGGCTCGAATGGTTCGAGGTTCTAAAACGACGTCGTTTTGAATTTATTTTTTTTTTCTTTCTTTCTGTTTCTCTGTCCTCTTTTTCCATCCTCTGTTTTTTTCCTTTCCTTCTTCTTTCTTCTTCTTCTTCTACTACATTGTTGAATGAGACAACAAAAAACATCACACACACAGAGAGATATGGGAAGAAGAAGAAGAAGGAGCTGGGTCTGCTGTTGGGTAACATCTTCATCATCAATTTTTTTTTTTCCCTTCATCTTCAGATCAACATCATCATCATCATCATCTTCAACATCATCATCATCTCCAGATCTTCATCATCTTCTTCAACAGAAATTGTAGGTACATAAATAAAAAAAATTCAAAGAAGAAAGAAGAAGAAGAATCACTCAAACCCAAAAATCAAAACCAATACCAAACCCAAAAATCAAAATTCAAAACCAAAAATCAAAACTAAACTCAAAACCAAACCCATAACCACAAATCAAAATCGAAACTGAAACCCAGATCAGACAAAATTAAACAAAAATAAGTTCAAAATCAAACCTGGTTCGTCGTTTGTAGAGAGAGAAAATGAGGAGGAAAAACAAGGGAAGATGAGGAGTGATCAGAGAGAGGAATGAGAGGTGAGAGTGATGAGAGCTGAATGCTTTTTTGCTTCCAAGAATAGAGATAGACAAGAGAGGAGAGGAAGGAAAAGAGATGGAGAGGAGAGAGAAAATTTTCTGGCCACTCGAGCCTCAGTTTTTTGAGCTACAGAATATTTTTGTAAATTTTTTAAGCCTAAAAAGATATTGATTTATCTAAAATGACATCTATCTATTCAAAACCAGTGGTGCTACGTACCACTAAAAAAAGGATGATTAAGTTAATTTTAATGAGTTGGCAGTGTTGAAAATTAAAATAAAAATAAAAATAGAGAGTAAAACATCACATTAATTGAGATTACAGTATTTTTAAAGCTATTAGAGCTCATTATTTTAGAGCTCTTAAACAATTTTCATTCAAAACTTACCTAGTAGCGTGGATTTTTCACTAATTAATTTATCTGAAAAAATAGAAGAAAAAAAAATTCAATAATCTCCACAAATTTGAGAAAATAAATTGAAGGTAGATTTCTTTATTAAGATGATGGTGCGGTAGCTATTGATTACTGGGATTAACAGTTGGCCACATGCAAGTCTGTGCCTCTTCTTTTTTTTTTATTCAAATGAAAGGTTAAAGATAACGTATACAGTTACAGTCCTGGGATAACTTAATCCCTGCTAGAGTTAGCATTTCTCGTATCAGTGATTAACAAGGAAAAGATGAAACCTGGTGGATCATCTAGAAAAATGGTATGTTCTTGGTGGTTGACATCTAGGTTGGCCATAGAATCTGCACTATGGTTAGCGTCCTTGGGAGTAGGGGTGTGCGTGGTTCGTTTAAAAGAAAAATAGAAATCATATGGCGGGTGGCGGATTGATAAAAATATCATTAGAATTTGTCATTTTTCTTATCAAAAACTGGTTGTTCGGTTGGCAAATAATGACGAATTTACCTTGGCGGAGTGGCGGTTTATAAAAGATATAATTAAAATTACAAAACTTGAATCAAAGAGTAAAAAAATCTAATTTATAAATTAACTAAAATAGTCAAAATTAAAATATTTGAACAACAATAAATAAATAAACTGAATGATAAGTAAATAAATAAAAATTATCAATGACAATAATAAGTATATATAAATAAAAATTATAAACAAAAGAGAGAGAGCACATTCTGTATTGTCTTTACTGATGTTCAAAGGGAAACAATAGAAGTCGGAATAGAATATCAATTACCCATCTCATATTTGAACAAAAATTGATTACCAAAAATGAAAATTATCATGCTGCTTTCTGAACCAATGGAAAAATATTGAGCATTGTAATTCAAAGGGAAAAAAACAAAAAATGATTTGTGAGGTTGTTTGGAATATGAACTTTTAAGCACAAAATTTCACAAATGAAATAAGTAGTAAACAGGGAATTCAAAGAAATCATAGATAATGAATTAGCCATGGTTTATGACTACTAAAGATTTACAGCCTTGCATTATTATAACCTATTTATGAAATAGTATCACTGATGTTATATATATATATATGTATATAGAAGTTATAGAATAGAGAGAGCAGAGAGAGCATCGAGAGAGAGAGCAGTAAGAGTACCGACGAGTCGACGATGACGAGAAGAGGCTAACAGCGGTGAGCCGATCGACAAGGGAAGGAGAAACCAGCGGCGACAGTGAGGATAGGCGAACAACGATGAGTCAATCAGCACAACAATGGTGATGAATCTGCGTGTGTGAATCGATGAAATTGAAATGTGTGGGTATTAGGTTTAATGGAGGAATTATTGTGTGTGTGTGTGTGAGAGTGTATAACAGATGAATTTTTTTTTTTTATTTTTTGAAACATAAGCGGGTCGATTCGGTTTGACTTGAGGGTTGGGAAATTTCACCCGCCACCCGCGTCAACCCGCCAGCACTGGGCCTTCCACTTGCTCAACCCGCCTACCAGAGTTGAAATTTTGCACGGTTTGGAGTGATTCGGTGCGGTTTTGGTGGTTTTGACAGTATTATGCAGAGCCCTACTTGGCAATGGCTTGAATTATGCATTGACATCTCTTTAAGAGGAAGTTTGGCATCTAAATGTGCACACTTGGTCACTTGGACCATCACGCATGGAAATACGCGATTGATGGTTCGAGAACCAAGGACTATGTCCCTTTGAGTCATAAACATGATAAGGGACATGAGTAGTGCATATATGCCTTGAATTGTGCTGCCATGCTCTGCCTTGCCCTCTGTTGCTGTCAATTGCAGATTCTGCAGGAACACTCTGCCGACCGGCAGTACCAAGTGACGACCGGCACTCCTATCTCTGCCGATAGCTTCACCAATGGCCGGTAGCTATATATCACTGCCGGTGGTAATCCCACTCGGCCGGTGATGTCTTCCAGTATCCAGAGAAGCAATCCAGAGGTTTTGGCAGCCTCTAGAGGAGTAAAAGAAGGAAAACAGAGGCAGCCTATGCATGGCCGTGCACTTCCGAGCGGGATCCGAGCATGCGCTGCATCTGGCCCTTCTCCCGAGGCGGTTTACTGCTTTTCCTAGCTTAATTAGTTTGTTAACTAATTAGGTAATTTATAATATTTAATTAGCTTGCGTAGTTAATTAATTTGTATTATTTATTTGGTCCCTCCGAGTGAGGGCAAATCTGTAATAAGTGTGGGTGAGTGTGTGTATGTCTTCCAATCCCCACTTCTTTCTTCCCTTTTATTTACCTGCTTTCATGGTTAGTATTAGGGCACGTTTAAATTATCATACCTCATGTAATGCATGCGTGCATTCATACATTTGTTTTACATGCACCGGGCTCGGTACATCACGCTAACTGCATTTGTACTTCAATTCCAAATTGAATACGTGCATCAATTGACTGCATTTTACATGCCATGCTTAGGTTAGCCGAGCCTACTCTAATTGCATTTTGCATGCGTTGCATTAGCCACTCTAACATGAACTAGGACCATGCATGTTTGCTAACTAGTTTATGGTTTTGGCACGGAGTACAATGTAAGTATTTATGTTTTAGCATCTCGCATGCGTGTGAATGTTGCCATGATAGTATGCTTGCCATGCGGCTAGATGCTTATATGTTATAAACTGTTTGAATGCCTGTGGGTGAAGGTTGGATTGTTTGAGTTGGAAAAACTCGTTGAAATCCGTATTTTAGCCTACTTGCGAGTAGCAAATTCCAAAGCGCTTTTCAAAACAAACGGATATGCAATGTTTCTTTCCAAATTAGGCAATCTAGTCTATACTTGTTTACTGTGCACATAACATAGTAATTCTAGGCTAACAATTGGAATAAGAACACATAATGTTTTCAAAAAATGGATATCACGGTTAGTAGAGGCCGATCTTCGGATCGGGCGAGAGGGGGTGCTCATAGCTGACCTTCCCCAATCGTACCCTAGTTCCCGAGCCGAGAAACTCCGGTGATGACGGACATGTGGCCTTCGGCACCGTGTCAGGGTTTCCTAAATTCCCCCATAAAAAAATATTTAGGTAGCGACTCTGTATCTGGCAAAGCAGTCCATGTTTGGCACTTCTTTTCAAAAATCTGTTTCTCAAAATGATTTGCCAGATTTGGACTCTTTGGTTCAGATTAAGAACCGTGACACAAATCGAGTCCGAACTGTAGTAGCGGGG